TCATTTCGTATCGTAACAAAATACTTTTCTTCTTCAATTCAATATTATATATAAATTAGATACTTGAGATTTTTATAAAAGGTGTAGCATTGATTCAATTTTTTTCTTTTTTTTTCCTATACGGACAAGATCAAGTGTTTCTTTTTCTTTCCAATACCCCTTTCAGGATCCTTAATCTATTGCATCACCCACCTTACAACTATAAATTCTTAAACTGTTACCTTGACAAGCTTGTTGTTCTAGCCACATACCATTTTCACCACACCTCAGAGTACCCGTCCCACCATTCTTAGTGTAGCCAACTGAACAGTTAAAACTAAAATCTTCACCAAATATTCTAGATTCTGTTACATCATCAGAGTTAGTGATATTCACACCTTGTGTACACTCTACAGCTAATACCAAAATAAATTTATGAGACAACGACATAGGATTTTAAGCTAACAGCTAACAGTAAAACATAAATATTAAATAATAACTCGAAAGTTTGATGAAAGTCGAAACAAATGATCATTAGATATCTATTTCATTTCATTTCGTATCGTATACAAAATACTTTTCTTCTTCAATTCAATATTATATATAAATTAGATACTTGAGATTTTTATAAAAGGGGTAGCATTGATTCAATTTTTTTCTTTTTTTTCCTATACGGACAAGATCAAGTGTTTATCTTTTCTTTCCAATACCCCTTTCAGGATCCTTAATCTATTGCATCACCCACCTTACAACTATAAATTCTTAAACTGTTACCTTGACAAGCTTGTTGTTCTAGCCACATACCATTTACATCACACCTCAGAGTACCCGTCTCACCATTCTTAGTGTAGCCAACTGAACAGTTAAAACTAAAATCTTCACCAAATATTCTAGATTCTGTTACATCATCAGAGTTAGTGATATTCACACCTTGTGTACACTCTACAGCTAATACCAAAATAAATTTATGAGACAACGACATAGGATTTTAAGCTAACAGCTAACAGTAAAACATAAATATTAAATAATAACTCGAAAGTTTGGTGAAAGTCGAACCAAATGATCATTAGATATCTATTTCATTTCATTTCGTATCGTATACAAAATACTTTTCTTCTTCAATTCAATATTATATATAAATTAGATACCAATGTAGACTTTATTTCCGAACGAAATACCCTGTCTGCAAAATCTACAATGTATAGAGCTTGTGTGGAAACTAATTCTTACCTTGACAAGCTGGTTCCAAAATCCAGACTTCGTTTTTACAAGTTGTTTGAACTTGTGATACATATCCTCTTTTGCACTTGAATCGTTTATTGTCTTCACAGCTATCTCTTTGAATCCACATCGTATTTATTGGTAGATTATACTTATCACAATCTACAACAAAATAATACAGATGTATGAGTTTATATAGAAACGGAGATAGATACAGATACTAAATCGATACAGCAGAAATAGAAAACATGTCGTGTAATTATTTTTAATAAATTTCATCCTAGTATATTTTATAATATTTGATAACTGTTGTTCTTACAATTGGGTCACCTCGAACCTTTCTGATTCACTCTAGGCATCCTGCAAGGCGATCTCCGATGCACTAATAGGGGTGACCTCTTGGCATAGACCTCGTCCTGATTATCACTGGCTATTTACAACTGAGTCGTCTAGAACAGTAAGCGACCATGCCCATTTAGAGCTAGGACAACTGGAAAAATGATGAAAGACATCCTATCCAGTACTATTTTTACAACTGAGTCAACTGAAATTTCAATGAAAGACGCCTTATTCAGTAGTATTTTACAGCTTAGTCACCTGGAATTATGATGAAAGATGACTTATTAACACCAATCACAGCTAGGTCGACTGAAATAATGAATTGGAAAAGACTTTTCAGTTCCATCTGGGTCAACTGGAATAATGAAAGAAAGGGGCCTTATTCTTATTTTGCAGAAGTCAACTGAAGTAAGGATGAAAGATGACTTTTTTTTGGACCAATTAACAGCTAGCTTGACTGGAACAATGACTGAAAGACGACTTATTCACTACTCTGGAGTAGGTTGACTTGATTAGTGATGAAAGTTGACTTATTTAACATCTATATCAAGTACTAATTTGAATGCATAATCAAGTTAACATAATTATGTTGTAATGATAAGAAAAGCACTGGCCAAGGTCACAAATAAAGAGATATGCTAGATATAAATTAGTGTTGAGTTAACATAATTATGTTGTAATAAGTAACATGTATGGCTGAAAATAGTCATAAGAATTTTTATCAATGTACATGTACCAGCTATTTCAATGTGTTGACAAATAACAGCTTGATATGAACAATTCTAATTATCATCAAACTCAGCTGGGAAATCAATATAGTAAATTATGTCAAGAATGTTATCTCAAAGTGGCATCAAAAAATATTTGCTCAGCTCTTAATTTCTGGGACATGCTGCTAATCGGAACAAAAACCATTCTGATAACCAAATGAAAGATAGCTTGCGATGCAAGGTAACATACGCCCACTGGCAGCTGTCTGAAATAATAAAACAGTCTTTAGTGACTAAAGTACGAATTTTCTCATATTGAAGAAATTATTTATGCTGAAAAATTCCACAAAATTTTTTAAAATCAATATCAATAACCCAAATACAACAAACAATTAATTCACACAGCTCTAATCAAGGGCAAAAAATAACTTTTGACGCGTGTTTACAAAGTCAAGGGCAATAACTCAAAAAATGTTCATCAAAAATATCTCTTGTTAGAACTTGTCCGAGATTTTATCAATTCCAATGATCACACCAAGTTTCATCAGAATCGGATGAAAACTGTAGCTTCAATCCTGCTCACGAACAATTTTTTAACAAATTTCAGTCAAGTCAAGGGCAATAACTCAAAAACCGTTCATCGAAAATTTGTCAAATTCGAACTCTTCTCAATCTAAAGCATCACACCAAGTTTTATCAAAATCATATAAAAACTGTAGTCTCTATAGTGCTCACAAGAAATGTTGACCGACGGACGGACGGACAGGGGCGACGACAATATACGACCACATATTCATGTGCAGCTTTTTCAATGTGTCATATCCGAAAAGACACAACTGTTAAAAATGTATTATAACAGACTCCCCAAACTGTTAAAAATGTATTATAACAGACTCCTCCAAACTGTATTATAAATTACCCAAACCACAGACAAGAATCACTAATAATAATACAGTAAATAACCGCATTAAAAATGTCTTTAATTTTAAAACACGAACAAAAAAAATTCGAAGGAGACGGTTTCTTCTCTGCGCTAACATCTCTCATCCCCAAAGTGGCCAATTTTGTCTCAAACAACAAATCCCTCATTTCCTCAGAAGCGCAAGCTCTTGGTTCTGTGGCTAAAGCAGGAGTAAATATAAGCGATGCAGTGAAACAATCTGACGAACTTAAAGAACTACAGCTAATAAGAGAACTAAGAAACAAGAGACTAGAACGACAAGCCCTAGAAAAACAAGGAAAAGGGTTTAAAATCATTGGATAAAAATGGCAAGCAAAAATTACAGATTGGATCCAATCTTTCAATTGTATGATCCGATTCAATATTCGTTCAACAAGAAGAAAGAGGATTACGTAATCATCTCACCATCGGTAGGGACAAAGACCCAAATAAACGACGGAGGAAGAGTTACCTTTGAAATTGTCCAATTGGTTGCTGCTTTCCGATGCCCATTTCCGATGCGATTTCAAAATCAAAGACGCCACTCAGAATCGAATTCCACAAACCAACACGACTTTAGAAAACAACTTCTTTCCGTCATTATTCAGCGAAATGGTTTTGGAAGCTGGTTCAAATCCTATAGAGACCATAAAACACCCCGGCGAGTTTGACACAATGTTGAAAACGGTTCTGTATCCCAAAAACTACGATTCAGTTTCGGGATGGATTCCCGATGTCGGTGACGGAGAAGTTTTAAAAGAACCGGTCAGAACTGTAGCAAATGAC